CATTATTTGACTCAAAATTATAAATGCCTGGCATGACTTTATATAAGATACATATACACTAGTCATATCAATAATTAAGTATTACCAATGTTTCTAATCAAAATTTTACTTAGCATATTCAACTGCCATCCTCGCACCCTCATCAAATCCTTCTGAAGAATAAATCTTCAGACCGTTCTTGGTAAGAATTTCCTTTCCAAGAGCCTCATTAGTGCCGCTAAGACGTACAACGATTGGGACTTCAGTCTTAGCTCCCTTAACAGCATTTACAATACCATTCGCAATGGTATCACACTGCATGATCCCACCAAAAATATTCACCAATATGCTCCTTACATTTTTATCGCTGAGGATAATTTTGAAGGCAACTTCGATCTGAGACTCGTCAGCGCTACCACCCACATCCAGGAAGTTGGCGGGCTTACCACCGTGCAAAGAAATAAGGTCCATTGTAGCCATTGCAAGACCAGCACCGTTCACAAGGCAACCAACACTGCCATCCAGCGCAATGTAGTTAAGGTCGGCCTCCCTGGCGGCTATCTCCTTTCCGTCAACTACGGACTTGTCCTCCAACTCGAAGATTTCCTTTTGTCGGAAAGCCGCGTTGTCATCAAAGCTGAGCTTGGCATCAATATTCATAACATCGCCATTCTCAAGCTCGACAAGAGGGTTGATCTCAACCATCGTGCAATCCTTGGTTTTGCCGACATTATATATGTTTTTAATCTGCTCTGCCATCCGTACTGCGGAATCGCCATCAAACCCAAGCTCCTTTGCGAAGTTCACGCAGCTGTCGTGATCGATTCCTTCGAGGACATTCACCCGCATCGTCTTGATCTTTTCCGGGCTAGTCTGGGCCAGTTCCTCAATACCCATACCACCCTCAGCGCTGCCAATAAACATCGGCGAGGCGGTCTTTCGGTCAAGGATCAGGGAAATGTACAACTCCCGCTTAATACCCGAAACCGCCTCCGTGACGTACAAGGTGTGCACCGTCTGCCCCTTCGGCCCGGTTTGCTTGGTCACGAGGGTGTTGCCCAGCATCTTTTTCCCCATTTCCACCGCGGACGCGGTGTTGTCACAGACGTGCACCCCACCCTTGAACCCGTCCACGAAGGACCCCTTACCGCGTCCACCGGCCAGGATCTGGGACTTCACGACCTTCTTGTCGGTTTTGATTTTGTTACAGGCGGCCTCGACCTCCTCGGCGGTCTTGCAGGGGATGCCAAACTCGACCTTGCAGCCGTGCTCCTTTAGGATCTTCTTGGACTGGAACTCGTGGATATTCAGGAAGCGCTGCTGAACGTTCATCGCACGAGGGGCACAGGAACGGGCGAAACGGAACATCGTGTCACTTTTTTGCGAGGATACAAAAAGGTTTCGAAAATTTTAGATGCAAAATTAGAGTATTAGAATAAAGATGAAGAATTAAAGTTTTCTAAATTTTGAAATGGAAGAAAAAGAGGTTGGAATGTTGAGATCAATATGTCGAAATTAAAAAATAAAAATGACTGAAATGGTAAAGCGTTTAATACCTTAGTCACCTCAAATATCATGATTTTAAAGGACCTTTTACATTCTCTCAGGTGTCATGGAAATGAGCCCAAGAAAGGTCAAGGTAAAAACAAACGTTAGTTTGCATAACATCTCAGCTTTGAAAAGAAAGCAACATGTTATACCAATCCATCAAATAAAAATCCATATTCAATAAAGTAGAAGTATATAGTGTTTGTAGTCTGGAGGACCGCCTTGAATAGCCTATTTTACACTCATTTTTCCTCGAGGCTTAATTTGGGCTGGTTAACGCTGCACTTGTTGAAGTATTTCGATATTTTATCTGATTAACACTCCCCTGGACTCTATGAATAAAAACAAACCGGCATGCGGATGATGTTTAGCATGGTTAGAAAATATACACCTCAATTGTTATGTCAGTCCGTTGATCCAGATTATATCAATATTGAGGCGCTCCTATTTGGTTTCGCACCATAAATCTACACAATACCGGAATGTTCCGCGCCAGTAGTATCCCATGAATTTTTAAAAAGCATGTAAATATCAATTGGATCGATATTAGCAATTCGAGACCAAATATTCAGATCGTTGCTCCTGATTGGCAAACAGGTATATGTAGAAATTGGGGTCACAAGGTATCAAGATAACCCTTCATAAAGCCTCGATAACAGGAAGACATTTTCGTATAGAGGGGAATTTTAGCATCTGAACAATAAAATAGTATTTATTAAGATATCGACTAGTAGAGAAAAGAGTAAAAAAATCCTTACTGTTCATAAAAGATAAGAACACCTCTTCCGAAGTAATACTGTTAACATTGAAAGTGGTAAGAAATAATGGTTTAAGGGAATACATGATCTTTTTTAAAAATAAAAGCATCCTGTTGTTGAGCTAACAGTGATATTTCATTAATAATTTTTTACTTATCTATTTGATTTTTCGGGTCATTCTGATGCCGAATCTTCAGTATCCGAACTCGCGCTGGTAGAACTCTCTTCATCTAAGAGGTCGTCGCTACAACTGCTCACGCTACTGTCAGAGCTAGCTCCACTTCTAGAAGACTCCAATGAAGAGCTTTTGTGGGATGAATCCCTTTTATAAAGTTTCCTTAAGTCTTCCAGTGGAATCTCCTTTTCCCTCTCTAAGTCATTAATTACTTCATTTAATTCTTCCTTATATTTACGCTCAGCCTTACGTATCGTAGTTTCGTTATCACGAACTTTTTTGGCAGGGATAAAAGCTCCATCCGGATCAAATACCAAACTACACTCCTTTGCAAATTCAGTGTACTTTTTGCGGAGCTCCTTTGCTAAGTTATACCACTCCGAACCTTTTTCATTAAACAATAAGGCATTTGTAAGCATCAGTGCGACATCCGTCTCCACATCGGAGTCTTGTTTGTACACACCCTTCTCGATATTCGCTTTTATGGTAGAGAGATCCATTGGATTTTTTATCACATCATAGTAATTTGGTACTTCAGTTTTGCTGACGGGGTGGTAAAACATTGATAGTGTGTCCGCCTCCCATAGTTTCTTGATAAATAATAGGCATTCAGACTTGTGAAAAGACTCAAGGCACCTTTTGTTAGTTTTCATATGAGTAATATAAAAAGCTTGCAGAATATTTGCTGTAGAGGCCTAAAGGATAAAAGTCCTTTGAGAAAAAAAAAGAAAGAAACGCATTAACGATTTTAAGTGGATTCTCTCCACTGGATGACACATCACCTATAAGCACTCAGACAGACCTATGTTCATCTTTTCATTATCGTTGACGTTTGAAAATTTTGAAATGCTACAAGTATATACCACCACCCTCCCTTGACCTTCATTTCCACTTTTCACCGGTAATGGACTCACCCTCATTTCGCGTTAGTGACCAATATTTGCCTTTCATCGTCAGATCGCGGTAAGACTGCAATTTACCCTTTGAAACAGAGTGCTGATAACCGTCAGAAGTCTCGCCCAAACCGCCATTCCCGAAAAATTCAAGTTGTTGATCGACAAGAGAAGTACAGGAATAGTCATTCGGGCAGGACTCTGGATTTTCCTCCACATTTGAATAAAACCCATTGTTCATGGTTTTAAAAACCTTGTCGAGCTGAAGCCGTTCATTTCGTTGGCGCCTTTGTAAAATTTCACGCTCGGTGGCTTTCCGATCAAATACCTCACTGCACATATACTGCACGGCATGTTCGAGGCCACATTGGGGGTCCTGCATACCCAATTTCAGGCCCAACATGGCGGAGACCGGGAACACCGGTAACTTTATCCGCCGTTTTAATTCGGAAAGTTTCTTTTGGGTACACATGCCGGTTGAATCCTTCGCAATATCCATTTTATTCGCAAACACCATAATAGCCCGGCTGCTAAGACCAGGTAGATAATAATCTAACTCTAACTGCAGTAGCTCGATGACGTCCCAAGGCTTCAACGATGCCTCCTCGCCCACGTTGGGGTTGTAAACATCCGACATATCCACCACAAAAGCTAGAGTCTTGGTGCGCTCCACATGACGTAGAAATTGATGTCCAAGTCCACGATTTTCATAAGCGCCCTCAATCAGACCAGGTACATCCGCCACGCGACAAATATTCCCGTAAAGATCATAAATCAGTCCTACATAAGGACGGAGTGTTGTAAAGGCATAAGGTGCAATCGATGGCTTACTCAAGCTAATGGCCGAAAGAAGAGATGATTTCCCCGCATTGGGGTAACCAATAAGAGCACAATCCGCGAGGGTCTTCAGCTCGAATTGCGCTAACATAGTATTCCCAGGAAGGCCTCTGGTCGACTCGATGGGTGTGTGGTGCCACTTATTGGCAAAGGCGGCATTACCTTTCCCGCCCTGGCCCCCTTCGAGCAATGACACCTCAACGCCATCCTCATCCAAATCAAACATCACGTCATTGGTATCCACATCGATGATATTCGTCCCTACGGGAAGATCAAGCCACAAATCCTTTCCTTTTCTCCCGCGAGCCTCACGGGCGTATCCGCCGCATCCCGATTCAGCCGAAAGTTGATTCCCCAAAGATTGAATGTGGCCTAAATCGGGAACATGGCGATTGCAGCGCAACATAACATTTCCACCATTTCCACCGTTTCCACCCCCAGGCCCTGCAAACTCATTACCATGCAAATGTGCCATTATACTCGCCCCATCCCCCCCACTCCCACTTGATAAAAGAACCTTCACACTATCGACAAAGCTAGAACGGTTTTTTATTCTTGAGAGGGTTTTTGAAAGCATAACACCCTCGTTGATTCGTAAAAAAAATGATAAAAACGGAACGAATAAAGTAAGATAAAATAATAATAGTGTCATGTAAAAATGTTAATGCGAACCAATAGTCAAATTAGTATTGAAATCCAATTATCTACTCCACCTTCCATTTTTCTGTATTAGAGTTCAACAAATATAGAGTATGAAATGTCAATTTAGCGAGGATTCATTAATATTACCATTATTATTTACACGACATTACAGATACAAGGAGGAAGCAAACACAATGTCACGTTTTATGAGTTGGATGCCTTTGATAAACTTATCATGTAGCTCCATGCTGCCAATCGCAGGTGACCTTGCTGCCGAGGCGAGTTGCCTCAGCATCTCCTCCAGCCTCCGCATCATTCGCACAATCTCCCCCTCATAGGCGGTCGTTTTACTAACCAAATCTATAAATTTTGTACCTTTGGCCCATAGATAAGTCACCTCCATCAGAGAAGGCATCACCTTGTCGACCGCACTCTTTTCTTGGGTTAGGTTGCTCTCCACACAAACCGTCGAGATCCGCGTGACGATCTCATTCAGCTCTTTGAGGGGCTGCTCAAATTCCTGCGGTAATGAAAACCCATCCGGCATACGATGGACGTTCACAAGGCAAGACAGCAACGCGACAATCATCTCCGTTTCCATGGAATTTAAAACCCCTTTGAAAAGGAGCTCGGTTAACAATATCTCGTTCTCATCGGTCGTGGTGATTTCGCACGCGATTCGGGATTTTCGTAGGATGATGTTTTCCTTGTCTATGTAATCCAGTCGGCGTAGCACCCGCATCATTTGCTTGAGCTCTTCCGAAAAAACCGCTTTATTCATGGCCACAAGTTCGCGGTTCACCTCCTCGATTTGGTCTTCAAGCTCGGCTTTATGCTTAAAGATTTCGTACTCCGCCTTTAATTCCTCGGTGGGGTTATTGTAGAGCGCGTTCCCCTCCAACTGCTTCTCGAGATTGGATACCTGGCTCTGGAGCTTCTCGAGCTCCAAGTCCTCGATCCCCATTTGGGCTACGGAAAGCTTTGGGATTTTGTCCTCCCCGAACTCGCGATGCAGTCGAGAGAGGGTTTGCACCACAAGGCCTCGGCCTTGCTCGGAATCTGGTTGAGGCGGCAAATTCGCCTTGAGGGTGGAAAGACATTCAATATCGGAGAAATCGAAGGCCAGGGTGTAGAGATCCGCGGTCACGGAGGTATACGCGGTGACGTGGCATGGGGTAATCGAGCCCAGCTTCGAGGAATCCACTTTTTGGCAAATCACCGCCACGTTGATGGTGAACGCGCTGGCGTCTGTAGGGGAGGCTCCGGCGGACTTCGCGGCGAAAGACCGACAAACCCCCCATCCAAAACAGGCCTGATCGGAATCGCGCACAATTCGCACAAAACGCCCTGGCTGAATCCAATTTTTGAGATACCGAGGCTGACGAAGGACCCCATTGATCGCACCCTTTCTCTTGGTGATGAGGCTATGGCATAGGGTATACTGCCGAAAAACTTCCTCGTTTTGTACACAAATCTCATCCATCTCCGCTTTCAGACGGGAGTTGGTGTGCTCAAGAGCGGGTTTGTTCGAAAGTCGCTGAAATTGCGCAAAGCTGCGCTTCATCATAAACTCCGGATCGACATCCTCCACACGAAGCAGGTTAAGCACCATATTGTAGGTTAGGTAAAAACTGCTCAACAAGACATCAGCCCCGCCGCCCGTGAGCTGTTTGAGCGTATCAGGCTCGACGGCCTCATCAACCATAGCGATCACCACCCCCACACGATCCAACCCACGCCGGCCGGCTCGTCCGGACATTTGAATGTACTCCCCGCCCGTTAAATAGCGATTCTTCTCGCCATCATATTTCTTAACAGCCGTAAAAACGACAGTGCGGGCCGGCATGTTTAGGCCCATCGAAAAAGTCTCGGTGGAGAAGAGCACCTTCACAAGGCCTGCTTGAAATAAAATCTCGACCACTTCTTTCAAAATGGGAAGTAGACCGGAATGATGAATCCCCACGCCCCTTTTAAGAAGGGGCAGCAGGTGTTCAATCGCGGGCAGTTTGCGGTCTTCCTCGGCTAATGACTCGATCGCATTATTAAATACCTCGGTCACCAGGGCATCCTCCTCGGTGTTGTTAAAATTAAGGCGAGAAAGCGCCAGCGCATTCCGCTCACACTCCGATTTAGCAAAAGAGAAGACGATCACGGGATACATATTTTTGTCCATCACAAGCTTCACAATCTCCATAATCGGCTGTGTTCCACTACGGCCGCGCGCCTTTGGACCGGAGGCCGAAGGTCCGCGATTCCCTTCCCCGCCTGCGGCTTCTTGGGCATTTGAATCGCTGCCAACGGACACCATCGCTTTGTTGAAATTGTCATCGCGAAATTTCCCATTTTCATCTACGATGAGGTAAATTCCCTCCGCCCCGGCAGGATAAAGATAGTGTTGTAAAGGAACCGGCCGGTAATTCGTATGAATGACGTGGACTTTGGTGTTCGGGTGAATGCTCTCGACCCACAGCGAAAACTCACGAGCATTCGGTATAGTTGCGGATAAAAATACATATTGGCAACCTTCTGGGAGGAGAATAATGGTTTCCTCCCATACCACACCACGGGATTTGTCCCGCATGTAGTGGACTTCATCGAAAATAACACACCCGACCTCGCGCAGCATTTCCGTCCCTCGGTACAACATACTTCGAAGAATTTCTGTAGTCATCACAAGGCAGTCCGAATCAGATTTGATGGTGGTATCCCCGGTCATAAGGCCGACTGAATCAAATTTTTCAGAAAACTCACGAAACTTTTGATTACTCAAAGCTTTAATTGGCGAGGTGTAAATGACTCGTTTTTTTTCTCGGAGAGCCTTTGCTATGGCGTATAACGCAACGGTGGTTTTACCAGCAGAGGTATGCGCTGAGACGAGTACACTGTCTCCATTCTCCAAAGCATCAATGCTTTCCTTTTGAAAAGTGTCTAGTTCATATGGAAATGTAATGGGTGGATCCACTTCCCGGCGCTCTTTTTTGAGTGCCGGCTCTTGTTCACTACTCACTGCGTTCATCCCTGGTGGTGTTCTAAGCCTTAATGAAAATCATACAGTATTGGGGAAAAAAAAGGAAATAAATTACATAAAGTATTGAATAATACTAATAATAATAATAAGAACTCTCAGTAAAATGTTCTATTGGACTTCCAAATAATTTGATAAAATTATTAAAAAATTCTTAAACGTAATATTTTTTTATATGATTTACTAATGACCGCGCACCAGACATCATGCCATCATTACTTAAATAAAGACCATATAGTCAACAACGCAAACGGTAAATGCAATTACAAACACGGAACATGTAAAAAGACAATAGGCAAAAGAAGACACCACAACCCGGAGCCTAATCCTTGAACGTTTCTCTTGCATAATCCTCAATTACCCCCTTCATAGTCTTCCAAACCTGGTTCTCAATGCATTCTTGCGCACCCTGAATCAACACCCCCATCGATTCGGGCGTTGAGCGCGAGGATGTTTCTAACCAAACAATATTGTTGACATCGTGGGACGTAACTGCGAGCGAAACCATAGGACATTGAGACCGCATTTCCTCACTGGTTAAATCTACGATAAATTTATCATCAATAATTCCTGCATTGATCGAACACACAGTATCTCTCATGGCAATCCCGGCATTCATGAGCGCGAGGCAAGCGGCATTAATACAAGTGGCCCTTTCGCTTCCGTTTTGTTGTAATACCTCAATGTAAATATGGATCTGCGAACCCGGGTATTGGGACAGCATAACTATTGAGCGCGTGACCTGCTCAATGATGGTGGCGATATCCTCCGCCACTCTCCGACGGTGCTGTGGATTGCTGCGGTATTCACTCGAAAATGCGGCAATTGAGACTTCGCAAATCAGAAGTGCCTCATCATATTTCGCCTCTTGCTTGTTGAGGCATTCTTGAGGCCCAAAAACAGAAGCACAAACCTTCGCGTTGCCGTGTTCTAATATGCAACTCCCATCACAACTGGTCATTGTACCGAATTTAGCACTAATTGGACGCACCTCAAGTGGCCTTCGGCCATCGATGCGAAGGCCCGCAGAATTAATATATTCCTTGTTCTTTGACATCTAATTCAGATAGTGGAAAATAATCAGTTAGAATAAAAGGTATCTGAAGATTTTATATGTTAAGTGTATAAAAGCTATACATAATTAAATTATAAATATATATATATATCTCAAGCAGGAAAAAAAAAGTCTAAATAGACATTATAAAAATGTGCAAGTGATTACTATGTAATAAAACAAAAATATACACTTTAAATAAAAATTAAAGCACATACTAACGTTAAATTAGGAGATAATGCCGATGCAATAGCCATTCTAATTTCTTCGTTGACCTTGGCATCGCCTGAATCGTAAAGTTGTCATGTTAATGTGCATCCAAATTCATACGATCAAAGCAGAGGAAGTGATATCTAATACAAATGTATTTAGATATCATCCAGAGAAAAAAGCAACAAAGCCAAATTTTAAACGATTTGTAACTTAACTAAGCCCTCCCCATACACTATACAGGATCTTCTCAATATCTTTGATCTTATTTTCCCGTTTTTGTTGCCATTATTTCTGAGGTGCATATTTCTTCAGTGTAGGACTAGAGCCAAAGACCATAAAATCCTATTAAATATGGCACTGGTACTTACCAGCTTTACATATGTGGCGAACCCACTTGTTCGAGTTGTACTTTAAAACTGGTTCCTCAACCTTAAGCCCCACCACCTTTAACACAGAGATAGAATGCGAAACACAATCAAAGGCAATATTAATAAGTGGTCGTGAAAGCAGCACATGGGCACTTTCCACGGTGGAGGAGAACCGCCTCATTTCAGCATAAAACGCGATTTCCTCCCCACCCCCTAAGGACGCCAATTTCCACACGATGGTGCAATTCGACACCTGAAACTTGGCCTGTCCTTTGGGCACCTGCAGGTTCACCGTGATCGTGTTTTCAGGACAGGGAATGATCACCTCGACGTTGTTGAGGTTCAGATGGGGGTCGGCATCCGATTTGAGGTGAAATTGAACCTCCGTACGGGTTTTGGAAACCTCCGTGAGGCGTGGCGAGTTGATTGTCAAAGGGAGGATGAAATCCTTACTGGAGCGGTATTGCATTAGGGTGAAGCTGCCATCAGGGGGGACGAAACGAAGGTACCGCGCCTCACTTAATTTGTTAAACCGAACACATGTGTGGAAGGAAACATCACTTAAGGTTAACGAATCGTCCTCGAGGTTTTTTCCCATTGTGTCACTGTAAAGACAGGTGTCTAAGGTTAACTCACACTTCGGCATCCCTGACAGAAAGCTCTTCATTACGATTTTCCCCACAACATCACTTTGGAGAACATCGCCGGCGGAGGACAACAACAAATTAACATCCTCAAAAACGTCTAAAAAAACCTCATTGTTTGGGAAATATAACTCATCCTCCCTCCAAGGAACCGCCCCGGTGATCTTTCGTGTGATGCGATCTGACTCACCTTGGTTTTTTAAGATATTCTCTTTGATCCCCGAATTTGAAATAAACTCTACGAGACACGCCTTCTCCGTGAGAAAAGGATATCCAAAATCTAAGGTTTCGTCAACAATTTCCTGAATCGCTGCAAAGTTTTCTTTGATAACGGACTCACTAATCGATTCATAGTAAGCCTGAATAATTTGAAGTAAACGGACCAAGTATTGAATGTATAAAAAACAGTCATCGTTTCCATCTGAAACAATGACAATGAAAATCTCATTCAACGCTAAATGAATATAGCAGATATTATTAATAATGTTAACAGGACACCGATCAAATTTTTGGGTGGTGATAAGACTCTTGCGAAAGGTGTCAGCAAAATACCGAATGTTATGATCAGTTTGATAAAGATGCGAGGAAACCAAGTCACCTCGTAAGTTCAGAAACATCAATCCGACGATCATTCGTGGTTTTTTTGCAGACGATACAGATCTATAGTGTAATAAGACTATATTTTGATTGAAAAAAGGGGGGGTAGTAATAGTGAATGTATAAATCTATTATTTTGAAATGCAGGTTGGGTATGCATTTTCTTTTACAAACGCATAATAAAACCTTAAAGCAAACTCATCGCTTAAGAATTTGGGTGTTCCATGTTAATCCTTTCCCGTAACAGACTCTAATATATTTTTCTTATATTCTGCATGCAAATCTCTTCTCCGTTTTCTTCGTTCTAGCGCCTTCTTGTCCCTAGCTTCGTCATATACCGAAATACGCAAAATCCTATCCTTTCCAATTGCATAATCATTTAGCGCTGATACGGCATTAGCGGCTGACTCACATTGCTCGTATATGACTATTGCACAACCCCTAGTAAGGGAAGAGGAGCCTATTCTTATTTGTTGTAATCCCCCATATTCACCAAAAAGCTTATAAAGATACTCACCGTTGAACGCACTCGATGGAATTCCCGTTACCAGCAAAATCCTCTCATCGGGCATGTTAAATAATGTAATGCTTTAGAAACTTTATGAGAAGAAAAAGGAGAAGGCGTTTGAATAAAAAGACAAGATTTTGCCATCATTTTATGGTATGGAAACTATTTAGTGGTAAAATAAATAAACAAATTTAAGGTAATTCTATCACACGCACACATACACACACTTTAGCGATGTCTAGCTTTGGTTTAAAAAAAGACATATTCATTCAGTTATATATTGGGATTATTCAGAATTAGACATCTTTATCGTATTCAATTTGAGCTATAGATGAAATAGAATATACATTACTTTTTGAAGAGACATATTCCCCCACTAAAATAATGTATGGAAGAATCCCGCTTAGAAACATCGCTTGAAATGAATCATGCGTCACTAAAATAGTGGGACTTATCTGCCTTGTAAAGGCTTCATAGCCCTTTGAAGTCGTACAAAAGAGTATTTTATGTCTCTGAAGTCCATCAATACCCTTTAACTGATTCAATATCAGCTTTTTTTCATTCTGATCTGAAATTCGACACATTAGGTAAACATCTAACCTAGATGCAAACCAAGACAATATGTCTTTTGCTTTACCATCACATAGCCACTGACCGTCTGAAAAAAAAACATCCCAGACACAGCATATTTTGCTACCTACAAAGTGTTTTCTCCTTAACTTTGTAAGAACATCAAGGTCTACATCTTTCTTCGGTAACTGTTGTCGTGTTGACGCTGAATCAGATCCACGGATAGAGCGCGGAGGATGCGGTCTTCCTAACTTTCTTTTATAGACATACAAAATCGTTATGGCACCAATCACAAGTGCTAACAAGGTGGTGTACGAACCTGATGTTTGTTGTAGAAGAACATCAGAAAGCGGTTTACGATGCATCCGTTCTATCTTTCCCTAAACAAATGACGATAATGGTGATGATAATAGTAATAAGAAAAGAGAGATGTCTTTCTCCTTGATTATGTGGTAAGAACCTACTCAAAATATAGAAACCATAGTAAATCGATAAGTAAACGTAAATGTAGTTAAAATGGAATAAAAGGTCAACAAAAAAACAAAAACATCATCACAAAAATACGTTGTCAATAATTGTAAGTGGTTTTTTTCCGTACACATGAAAAAAGATTCTTGGGTAAGCTTCGAAGCAATTATTCAACAAAAATATATATTCCTGCTTGATCCCCACGCTTCAAGAACCCCTTCTCAATGAGAAGAGATATTCTCGACTTTATATCACTTACAGTAGGTGTAAAAACATTCGAGAGAGATGTTGTGACTTCTTGGCAAAGAAACTCATGCTCAACCATTTTTTGCCTTTTTAAGATACGCACAATAACAGCATCGATACTCATGGAACGACTACACTCCGCTGTTTTTTTCGCTATACCATGAACATTGGATGAATCTGCATCTTTTTGCGCACCTAAAACTATTCTGATTTTCTGTCGTTGGGAGGAGAACTGTTGATTAAACTCAAAGGTTGTTGACGACCTTGTCACAAACCCAACCTTTTCGAGTGCCATTAGTTGAGTATCAATATCTGCTTTTGAAAATGAAGTTTGATTGCAAATCTGGTCGATGAAAATACTTCCATTGGTGTTAAGCGATTCAATTGTATTCACAAAAGGGGTTGGTGCTGTCACACTGTAAGTTTTCCCTAAATTTTTCAATTGAAACACGACAGTTCCAAGAGATAGAGGAAACGTGATCTTTCTTCCACTATGACGAAGGTCATAGAACTTTTTAAAAGCCTCCATGCATATGTTCATGGGCTCTGGTAATGGCATGGCAATATTGGAGTACTGAGGCCAGAAACCGCCAGTAAGAATTGTTACCTTGAAGTATAAAGGCAATGTGCATTGACTTTTCTCCATAGCACGCATTAACCGATTTTGTGTGTCGCTGCTACACTTTATGTCGTTAATCATTTTCTCCATTCGACTTACAGTATCAGTGTCACACTCTTGTTTCATTGCTGTAATAAAGTAAGTTTCATTCTCAATTAATTCGGGTTTTGAGTGTGCATGAAGCAGACGTCCAGCCAAATAGTTTCGAAAAGAAATTTCAAAAATATCCTTGTCGTTTATTAAGCGGAAAAGATAAATAATATCTTGGCAAAGTTTTTCTAAAACTTCGCCCTTAGCTGAACGAATATGGTAATCAAAATAAAGAGCCAACATTTTAACAAACGAATTTGTGCTGTTCAAAATATCCTGCACAGCCAAGATGACATCTTTGCCAAGGTTTCCCTCAAATAAAGTCGACAGTTCCTTAATATTCGAGAGTAGGGTCAGTAATTGTCTAATAACAGCTACAGGTGACACTAAATACTCAGTACTAGACGAAAATATCTCTTTACATATTTTTTTGGTCTCTGCCGTGCATGTATCAAGGACGGGTTTCATATTTCCTATGCGACAATATATATTAATGACCTGCCTCATAAGGGGAAAGTTCCATTCATTAAACATCAAGGTAAATCCGGTTGAACTCTGAATAATGTAATCCTGATTAGCACTAACAAGAATACGGTACATAGTTATCTCTGTTTTTTGTGCTGATGAGGAGCATAAAAGCCTTGCCGCTCTACTCTCTTCATTTGCGGTTGCTATTGACACCCATGTAAGAAAATCATTCACTGAATTTTCGCGGCGCTGCTTTTCGCCTTCATGGGTGTAAATCTGCTCTAAGTGTTCGAGGTATGGCGCTTCGACATAAGCATTATAGAAACGCCCTTTCTCAAGACTCTCAAACAATTTAGCAACAATCCTGAGTTGATCCCACTGAATGGGGTCACTAATAGCATGAAGAAACATTTTTTTTATGTTCTCTTCCACAAATGTATCCTCTAGAACTGTATCACAAAAAATGGTTTCCCCTATTTCCTGTACTGTGCGCATATAAAACATATGAGGGTAATTCTTAAAATACAGCAAAAGACCATTAAGCTGTAATAAAGCATTATTAAACTTCTCCCACTGAGATACAAAGTACTCTAAATAGTTCTTTATTTTCGGCTCGTGAAGCATATGAAGGACGACATGTGCTTGTAGCTGTAACTGCTCTTCGATGTGTTCAAGAACATGGCACCCTAGACCTGCTTGACACAACATAAAAACAGTATGATGAATATACTGAAAAGAGTATCTAACGGGCTTCCTTTTGAAAAGACTTTGAACAACTTCCTCTATAATATTCCATTTTTGTCTAAATTCTGTTGTTTCTGGTGTTCTCTTTTGGCGCATATGTATCATTCCACTTTGTGCACAAGGAATATTTTTTTATAATAATAATAATAAAGTATAAAAATTTCTTGATAAAAAAAAAGTTGCAAATGCACCTGAAAAACAAGGAATAGTAATTTTCAGATATAGAGAGCAAAACGCACACTTAGAATAACAATATAATATTTAAGACAATTTAAACAACTTGTAAAGTTAAATATTTATCATGTTTAAAAAGGAACTAAAACGGCTTTGATCATAATACTCACGCCTTGATCGAAAAGGATTAGTTATCTTATAGATTTAATATGATTCATTATCAGTTATTATTTGCAACATATTGACTCCAATAGAAATGAGACCCATGATATGTAAAGGAAAATATCGCTAGTTAGACACAGATTTCTTCACTGAGCGATAAACCCCAACAACGACCGCGTGATCCCTCTCAAAAGGCTCCAATGAAACTTGCTCCAATGGTTTAAGTTTATCCTTTTTCATTTTATTAATTTCCGATGCGAAAACTACAGGTGCTGCAAGGGTTGAGTCAATGCAATTAGCTTTAATAGAAATTACGTAGTGTCCACCATTTCGGAGAAAAGCCTGAGCATTAAGAGCTAGAATGCGCGCCTGATCAGGTTGCGCCACATCCATGAAAATGCAATCTACCATTGGTACCAGCATTCGATACTTCATTGGGTAACGAGCATCTTCAATGATAGGAACAATGTTCGGACGGCGTTTGGACATCTCGACAAGATCGCGGCCGACACGGTGAGAAAATTCAACAGCGTATACCATTCCCTCTGGTCCAATCAGATCACTGACATGGCTAACGGTCGTCCCACTAGCACCTCCAAGATACAGTACTTTTGAGCCTGGACCCATGTGAACGGAACTAACACCAGCGTATATCGCAGAGGCCAATTTTGAGCGGTACGGATTCCACAGGCGGTACTCCTTTTTCTCCTCACCTTGGGATGCCCCGAGCTCGATGCGCTTTTCACCGTAAACAGAAATCCCTGGCACCATGTTAAGAGTGCAGATTGACTCAGCCTTCCCTTTGGATATAAAGACACCTGGGTGAAGCATATGAGGAGTCACGACAACCTTGCTACCCGCATCACGCCCCCCACGGCCACCTCCACGACCGCCTCCACGACCTCCTCCTCGACTGCCTCCACGACCGCCTCCTCGACCTCCGCGATCACCTCCACGAGCGCCTCCACGAGCGCCTCCACGTCCTCCTCCTCGACCTCCGCGATCGCCTCCTCGACCTCCTCCACGTCCTCTAAATCCACCGCGCATATTTAAACCTTGGTTTTTCTTTCCCCTTAATGATGTAGTTAGATTCTTGAAATAAAAAAGAATAAAATAATAATAATTTTTGCTGATATCAAATTTGCACCTCCTAGTACACATTATCTTATAGTAATAATAATAATAATAATAATATTCGTTGGAAATAATCGTAACATTATAGCTATAATATATATATATATATATGTTTCAATATTTTGGTCCCTATGTTAAAAACCATTTATTAAATCGAATAGTAAAAAATATATTAATATTATTATTAACATTCTTTGTTGGAAAATTATTGAAGAAACGTAAGTAAAAGTAGGCTAAGCTCGGCTATGTAATAGTCAATTGAGCCATGTAACTCTACCTTTTATTTAAACAATAAGTGTAATTAATATTAGTCCATTGTGGCTAATCATTACACTTGTTGACATTTTCAATGTAAATCTTAAAGAAAAAAGGTGGTTGAACTTTTTTTGAAAAATTATCAAGAAGCCTTATTAACTCCTAAATATAGGTCCACTATTTGGAAATTTCCACATATTGTCTGAAAAATATCCTATTAAATGAAACTAGAATGTTCTTCAATAAAACAAAAAAAAAATCGATTTTTACTTTGAAACATGTTTAGTCTGCACACAACTCGGAATATAGCTCTCCTTCAAAACTAAAAAGGTTGGTAAACTTTCTTGAAAATATTACTCAGTATTTTCTCCATCTTGGATCGTTTTTTGATCACTGAAGCAAAATTTCCGAAATGTTTTTTGAACAGCTTTGGTGTATTATTTTCCTTAAGATATGATGAAGTTCCTGCACATACCTTTTCAATAGAGAGTAACCGACAAGATCGGTAACAATAGCCTTCACAATCCCAATTTGTTTTTGTAGTGTATGGCGTAATGATCATTTAAAAACTGGCGACCTTGTAAAGTTGGCATGTGACCTTTATTGAAGCCCACAATAATCTCAGTTCGAGCAGAAGGGACTGACATTTTACCTTGCTTATTTAACAACAGAAGAAAAAATTGCCCAAAAAGTAGAAAATTTTAGCAATGTGTATTTTTAAAATTTCAGTGATTGTTTTTTTTTAAGTTGAAATAATATGGCATATATATATATATATATATATATAAAGGTAGTGTATATATATTAAAATATACACTGCTTAAACTTTTTCTTACAGATTTGCTCATAGGAAGTAACCTTGAAATAATAAAATAACTTAAGCAGTAAGGATAAGCTTAGTTGAATTTTGCTTGCTATCATCCTCATCATTAAATTACTATGTTTTTTTTACTGAGATTTAGTGCTATCCTTCAGAATATCACCCACATTTTTACCCCTTTGAAGTTCTAAAAGAAATTCCTTGGATTTCTTTTTATTTAATATAACGTTTTGCCTGCGATGTTTTATCATTTGAACCCAATTCTCTCTTTCAATTTTTACACACCCTATTAAAGAGATTTTGTAAACCATCGGCATTCCAAAATCCCATACCTTACAGCCAAGCTTCTTTAAAATACAACCAGTAACTGCAAGTTGCAGCTTACCTGCACCACTAACACAGTAAGCACCCGTTGCTGAAGTATAAATATCACCAAGAATGTAACCGAATTCAGCTGCAACTAAATCTCCTTCCTTAACTTCATCGGAGCTAGATGACGACAGTTGTCTCGAATCACTCTGATACTTATGTCTACGAACGGCAATTGTGATTATTTGAGGCTCAAAGTTTTCTCTGTGGCTATGCATGTAAAAAATGCATTTACGCAAGGCTTTACAAACCCAATTCTCTCCATGTCGTCGATGTATTAAACCAAACACATCCACTATGTCTTCTTTTCTATTCACAAAAATGTCAAAGGAGACAGTACACAAAGCGTCGTTAGTTGGTTTGAGGAACCTTTTCGAAATATTTAGTTTCTTGACCTGAAATATTCCTTCATTGTCATTGCATGGTGGAAAATATTCAATATTATTTCTCATCAGGTAATCTTCTACTGTTGCACAGATCAAGCTCACTTCATGCAACTGTGGTGCAAAGAGAAAAGTGTTGTTGCCAATGTTTAATGTCAATGGGAAAATTCCTCTGATTATACATGCACTTATTAATTTTGTATCAAAGATATGTGAAAACCCAAATTCATTTCCAGGTCTAAGTTTTTGGGAAAGCGCGTCAAGATCTTCAATGCAGTTCACATATGGAAAAAGATTTGATAAATATTGAACGCACTCGCTTCTTAAATGTAGTCGAGTTTGTGGATTAGAATCGCGCTCTGCTTCCTCAAGCTCTTTGTTTAAAAGATCTATTGTATCGCTGGGAATACGGAAATCTTTCTCAATAAAATTAAAAACCATTGTGAATGTCCAGTATACCTTTAAATGAAGTATAGTTGTGTTTCGAAAATTTATATGATTCTTCATAAATAATATAAAAGTATTAAATAAGAAAAATAAACTTCAATAAAAATATAGATGTATGAATATAAATTAAATCCGATATAAATGCTTTAAAATATAGGTCCTAAGTATTACAACACTAAAAAAAAAGGCAAAGGTTTCACTAACACAAATATATGACACCATTCAGAAACTCGATGAAATTACCAGAGGGCTCCTCCTGGAAATGAAAACCAATTCCTTTGCAACGCATAAAAGGATTTTACCTTAAAAAGCTTGGCGCAAATAAAACCTAAGTGAATTCTATAGTAGAATGAAAAAAAGGCGGCAAAAGAAACTCGTAAATTCCCAGGTTCTTCAAGCAAGCGGTTTCTTAATAGCCACCCAGTTAAACGATTAAATTATGCTCGCTCCATATTTTTCCAAGGTTCCATTTTTTAGCCTGATCAATTATCGAAATGCCAAAGCGTTCAGCTGCAAAGAAATTAGGATCCCCGTGGTCGGCGGTACGCTTTGCGAAAGGGAAAGGACGGACCTGGCTTGAGAACCCCCCAGTGCCAAAAACTACTTTACCTTTTTGGCGAATTATAGTCCATCAAAAGGGGACAAAATTAGAATAAAATAATGTTAATTATAATATTTGATATTTCCCCCGCAAAGAAGAAATATTTTAAAGGGGGCCGATAAAAGCCGCGGAGCGCCGACTCGTTTCGACCCAAGGCAAAGCCCCCACCACCAACAGATATCCCACGCCGTGGTGCAAAGAAAAAAAAAACAATTCTTTAAAGAATTTTTTTGTTGATTATTTCCTATTTTATTTTTGACGCGCAAAACACTTTAGCATATTGCTCAAAAAAAACGTAAAAGGCCAAAACCCATGGAAATCTTGAAAAAATATTTATAAAAATTTGGAAATCCCTTTAATAGCCAAATATCCTTTTAAAACAACCATTCGCGAGAGATGGGGCTCATATTTTCACACAATCGCCATTTTCATTGATGCCCAGAGCATAAAAAGCGATTCATGCGATGAAATTTTTTTAATGCGTTTATCTTTTCGAAGTCCCCCGAAGATAATTGAATGACGGGTTCGGGCATTGGGAAACCCCATTTCACATTCACGGATCCACATAGATATTTGCGCGTTTATCCTTTTATTTGGATGAAAATATTCTTTTTGATGGGGTAGAATTTATGAGAACCAAGGGTATTTGTGATTTTTTTAGCGTTTGTTGTAAATTTTTAATCAATAAGAATTTTTACACCTTCGATTAAAAATATTACCCCCGGGTGAAAAACACACACGCGAATATAAATTCAGTTGTTGTTTTTTAATGGTTTATAAAATATTTATTAATCCATCAAATCCGTTAAATATTTAGCATTGGTGTTTTTTTATTTTAAGGGGGAATGGATCACATTTACGGGGATATATTCGGAATGGGGGCCTTTTGGGGGGAACACAAAAAAGGGGTGATTTGGCCGTTCAAAATGCCTCCGGATCAACGTAAAATATTCTTTAGTTTATTAAAAGTTAATTTTTTCAAAATAGGAAATAAATAAAATACAGAATAAGTTTAAACTAATTTTTTTTTTTGGGGGGGGGGACACCACCAGCGGCTTTAGAAAAAAACGCCCCACATAATACACACAATTCGAAAAAAAAATCGATAATGTGAATTTTAAATTCGGAATTTAAATTTGCCCCGGAAAGAACACAAATTTTTTTAATGAAAATCCTATATTTATTATTTGATTTAATTCAAAACAGAATTGTGTTTTAATATCTGTTCGGGGGCTTTGAAAATACAAAGCTTTTCAGCCTGCTGGCAAGGGGAAATGTTGAATCCGCGCCCCCCGATTCCCGCTCGGTGATGGCAGGGTTGTTTATCAAAAATAAATCAATTTTATTGCGTCCAACAAAAACTTGAATAATAATTATTAGATCAGAATTAACCCCCGGAAGTGTTAATTTTGGCGTCCGTATCTTATTATTTTCGTATTCCATATCAAAAAAATTCAAAAACATTCGGTTTTTTTGGTGAAATTTGAGGCGGGGATTAAAATATTCCGACGCACATAATTGGCTTATGAATTCTAGATTCTCTCATTTTTTTTTTTAAAAAAGTTTGAATTTTATTTATAACAATCTATTTTCCACGAATGGTGTGAAAAAAAAAAAAATTACATTTTATGAATTTTTATTTATCCCGTTGGCTAAAATTTAATTTTCAAAGCATTAAATAAAAAATGATTTCAATTAACCAAGGATATTTGGAAACGTTTAATATAATTAAAACGTTTGGCCGAACAACCTATGTTTAAAAAAAATAAACAACTTCGAACGGCGTGAAAACCCTTAAATGCGGTCGTGGATTTTAAAAATAAAAATTTGTTCCATTTATAATATAATATAGGCTTAAATAATTTTGAAATAATATGGAATGCTCGGGGAACCATCTCAAAACACGGTTTGGTGAATTTCGATAAATTATAAAGTATATTTTCAATAATTTTGAGGATTTTTATGGAAAATTTAAGGTCAATATATATTTTATTAAAGCTGTGCATTTTTTGTTTTTGATGGAAACATTTTATTTGGTGTTGGCTAAAATTTTTTTGAAAATTGGCCATGTTTGGTCTATTATATGGACCTTAACATTTTATTAAATATCGATGGGCATGGAAAACGGAAACAGGCCAACCCATCCCACCGAAATTCGACCCGGGTCGATGAAAAAATTCGTAAACCCAACTTAAAATAAAAAACGCGCATAAACTTTTGGCGAAAACAAAGTGCGTTATTTTACAAAGATATCGACCGAATAATATAGTTAAACCGATTTTAGAAAAAGTGTATAATTTTATGACGGGCTTAAAATCAAAAATCTTAAACCAATAATGAAAAAAAAAATATATATATATAATAACAATATTTAACGTCAAAAGTGTTTGGGTTATTCAAGACAAACGGTTTTTATTTTTTATCTGACAATTATCACCCGTTTAAATTTCCATAATGGCCCAATTATTTTTTATAAATTTGAATGCTTGAGAATGGTTTAAAGACATTCCTGGATTAAATAAAAACACATTTTCCAGAATAAATAAATTTATTTTATCTCGATTATTATAGAAATATCCTTATTTACTTTTATCATCATTGTTTTCGATTATTGTGAAGGTATTTTTGCGATGGGAATGGTTCCACCACAAAACATTTAGATAAATTTTAGACCCTTCACCATCACAGAATTTCGAATTAAAACAATACGATTGCCGTATTTACGCTCAAATACCATTTTTGTAAAATAAATGAAGAACGCGAAAAAATATATATTGTATTCTATGGAAATTGAAAATGCAAATTTTGGAATATGCGCTATCGATTCCGTTTTTGGAAAAAAAACAATGAAAATCCCAAGGGATATAAAATGATGTTCAATTTATTAAAATAAATGGGTGATATTTAAACAATATTTAACCAATGGTAATTTTTTTTGAAATGTCGGATCGGTGGGG